AAAGGATACCAGGACAATGACAAAATTTTATAGCATTCATATTTCTCTGTCATCAAAAGGACCTTTTTACTACCAGGATTATAATGCATCAAGAAAAAGAAAATGATGAGACTTTTCAAGAACTGATGATGCGCACTGCATAGAACTGGCACTGATATTGGAGACTTAAAGCGTCTGTGATACAGCAGTCAGGGATGGGCTTATGGAGGATGTGGTGGTTTGAATGAGAATGGACCCCATAGACTCATATGTCTGAAAGCTTGTTTCAGTTTTTGGAACTGTTTGGGAAGGAGTAGGAGGTGCGGCCTTTTGGAGGAGGTAGGTTACTAGGGGTAGGTTTTAAAAGCCTACACCATTCCCACATAGTTTTCTCTGCCTCCTGTTTGTGTATCAGATGTAAGTTTTCAGCTACTGCTCCAGAGCCATGCCTGCCTGCCTACCTGCCTGCTGCCATGTTCCCTGTCATGATGGTCACGGATGCCAATCCTTGGTGTCTTATCAAAGAAACAGAACTAAGACAGAGGTCAAGTGAGCAATGGAAGCTTGGTACAGGTCCTTCTTACAGTGGACTTCTCATATGTCCTCAATCCCTTGTGCTTCACCAGACCTGGTATACATAAATGGCACAGACAAACTTAGAGGTAAATGGAATTCCCACCTTGCTCCATGACCCGTGGGAATGAGGTCTACTGCAGTGAGAAAACCAAGTGTCATTCCGTAGGACTACCTCTACCCAGGAAGACTGGAAACAAAAAGCAATTTCCTTTTGCACTTTGCCAGGACTGCTCAGTGTGACCACTGCGAATGTGGACACAGGGGAAGCAGGCCTTTGACACATACTCACTAGTTTGCCTTTTGACCTGGTTATTAAACAAGTGGGTGGGAAATGCAGATGACTGTGGTGAGCTTACCCTGGTGATGACAGAAACTGTGCCTGCTGTAGCAGATGTATGGTTTCATGGTTGAGAGAATTTGTGTACCACCTCCTGTAGTACCTGATGTGCAACGACTCATCTGACAAGGATTTCTCAGTAGAGACACCAAACGCCACTTGCTATCAGCTGGCCAGCGAACAACATGCTTTCACTATCTTGTCTCTGGAGGATATCACTTTTCTAGCCCTTTGTGGTAACACAGTTTTCAGTGCTCTTCTTCACTCTCCGCTCCCCTGCATAGCACACCAGCCCATTACAGTGAGGCCATTAAGCTCACTGGCCTCAACACAGCATGACTCTGACCTAGGGAAGATGCACATGTCCAGGGTGATGATTAAATGTTACTTTCAGCCTCATCAGAACTCCTGGGGTTCGGTGGCTATTGTATTGAGAGACCCCTATAAAGCAAATAATTTGCTGCATCTGGCCTCTCTTTCAGGTCTCTTCTGATTGTGGAGGTGTCATATTCTCCACTCAGGTATATTATTCTAACCCATTTATCAACTGGCCCCAACCCTACTAGTTCTGAGCAAGGCTGTGAACAGAAGGCTGAATCACTGGTCCATCCTGCAGGGCCAGATGCTCTCCTGTATGAGCTTGTGGAGCTTAAAGGTCAGTGAAGATGGGATGCTGAAAAGGGCATATCTCGAACCTGGAGCAATAGCTGTCATTCCTTTAAAAATAACTGCTCTCTAAAGAAGTACATCTTGGGGGCTGGAGAGGTGGCTGAGCAGTTAAGGTGGCTCACTTGTCCTTTTTTATTTTTTAACTTATTATCTTTAAGCAGTAGGTTTTAAAAAAGGATTTATTTTGTTCATTACATATATAGTATTCTACCTGCATGTACACCTGCAGGTCAGAAAAGGGCACCAAATCTCATTATAGTTGGTTGTGTGCCATCATGTGGTTTGCTAGGAACTGAACTCAGGAGCTTTGGAAGAGCAGACAGTGCTCTTAACCACCGAGCCATCTGTCCATCCCCAAGAGCACTTGTTCTTGCAGAGGATCTGAGTTTGATTCCCAGCACCCAAGCATCTATGACTCTAGTTCCAAGGCATCTGACACTCTCTTCTGAACTCTGAGGGCACCAAACACACAGGCCATACTTGGACATCAATGTGAGCAAAACACCCATACGCATAAAATACATAATTTTTTCTTACAAAAGAACTAGATCCCTTCATTTCACTACTAGGCCTTGGTAGAGACTGCATATTTAACTATGAGCCACCAAGATATCATCATCAAGTGAAAGTGGCATTTCCAAGGTTGACCTGAGTAGGCCCTGAGGCTGAGGAGGTTATATGGGGCAAGTGATACTTATCATTCCCTAGTGCCTCTCTTCATCCCTACACCAATGGCCCTGGGCTAGGTGTATTCTGATATTTTCGTGACAAAGAGAAGCTGTAGGCCTGGTTTACATGTTTCTACATGGCATGCAGGTACTGCTCTCCAGTGGGAAGCTTTAGAGCTACAGCCTCCCTTGATGGCACATGGTAGAAGGGGAACAGTTTCAGTGGGAAGTGACGCTGGATATGCACTTTGCTTGGAGGGGAAATGATCATATATGTGACTAAGTAGCAAGTCACAGCCATGCTCAATGACTTAACTAAGTAATCAGGCTCTTGGAAGGAAATTTGGAACAGTTATGTGAGTAGCCCACTCTGGACAAAACAAACAAACAAACAAAAAAGCCACCACCACCACCTGTTTTGTCAAGGACATCAGTAATGAAGTGGATAGGATAACCTATCCTCTGGGGATACTAGGCAGCTTTTCTCTAGCCACCACTCATTGACCAGTGGGTTCAAGGGCAGTGGAGGCAGAGACGGTAGGTACGTGTTGGCTAAACACCATGGAATTATACTCACCAAGGACAACCTGGCTATATTCACTGTTGACTTTTTAAGCAGCAGACACTGACAGAGGACACCTAATAAGGTACCATTCCCTGGGGTAACCAGTCAGTGACCAGCAGGTTGATTGCATCTGTAAGGGCAGTGCTTTGTCACTGGTGTAGACATTGTAGATATGAGTTCAACTTTGCATAGCTCCAGGGATCAGGGAGGAAATGGAAATGGCACCACCCACTATTACTCCTAGTGACTCATTAGCAAAACTGACTTCTCATCCGTAGGATATGTTCTGGCAGTCTAGCAATTCCACTCAGGAACAACAACCACTCCACTGAACTGCCAGTGAAGGATGCTTCAGCTATCTTGGGATCTCCAGATCTTGAATCACTGGCATAGGAAGGAATTTTGGTTCCAAGGGGACATGACAGAGGATGAACCAGAGCATGTTTGGAACACAAGAGACACCTTAGACCACTCAGTAATACCAGGCTGTGTGGTTCAGGTCAGGGGAAGACCACAACAGGTCAGTGGAAGCCATACCACAAATGGCAGGCCCTTCAGGAGGGAAGGCATGGTTTTACCCCACTAGACAGGGAAACACAACCAGCCAAGGTATTTCTTGTGTGCAAAGGAGATATAGGATGGGCACTAGAAGGATGAAGGTGACTGTATGACATTGCTAGGACCATGTGACCAGTTACAGAAAGAAGTACTGCCATGGTGAGTACTTCCCCATTTTGTTATGAATGTCTGTGTATGCATTCATCCACATTTCTGCTTTCTTTCCTTTCATATCCTCTTACAACATAAGGTGTCAGCATTTGACTATGTTAACCTTTACATCATAATGTTTCAGTTGCAGGATGCTGAGGGTGCGTCTTCCAAAGATGCCCACCTCCTCTGGGGCAAGCATGTTGTTCATTGCTCTCAAGATACCAGCAGCACCATGCTAGGCAGAGCCTGACCTTTGTTTGACAACTGACTGTGGCTTAGGGTAAGTTGGTGGCAGATAGGGAAGAATGATTAGAATGATGCATCCACTTGGTTAGGCTACAACACACAGTTGTTTGGTCAAATGCTAGTCTAGATGTGATGGCAATTTGTAGAGGCAGCAGAGAGTGTCACCTGTGGAGAAGGGTTTAGACCATTCCTGAGGTGTATCTAGGTTCCAGAAGGGGAGGGGTCTGAAGGTTCTTGGAGGCTGAATAGTAAACCTGAAAATCAGGGCTGGGGACGTCCCAAATACGGCTGTTCTCAGCTCAAACATGCGAGACATAAAGGATGCTTAGGAAACCTGGGCAGAACGCTGGAATCCAGAGTCTGATTTCATATAGAAATGTCTTTAAAAAAGCCACAGGCACGGGAAAGCCAAGATGACTTTAATGTGCAAACAACCTTAGACACCCCAGGAGCAAGGCTAGACCATGTTGGAATATTTTTGGATAGTGTAGTTGTTGGAACATGCTATTATAAGGCATCTGACCTTTTTTAAGCTTATTTTTTACATTAACTTAAAGCTCTGGCTACTAGAACATTCATTAGTTTTGTGGCTTGTATTTGGGCTGGAGAGCACTGATTTATAAAAGTGGAGTCTAATGCTGGCTACCCATTGCCTCAATGCTGGCCACCAGGGCGTGCTCATCAACTAAGATCTTTTAAAAAATGAAATGGTGGAAAATGTTTTCCATGTCCACTAGCAGATTGACATCCTACTATTTTTTTTTCTTTCAAGAAACAAGTCCTTCCCATATGGCTGAACAGGTTGCAAACTGCACAAGAATGACACATCCAAGGGACAGGGTGCTGTTCATACCACAGATATTGCAGATTTGTTTATTTTTTTACTGCCTTATCCTGGCACATGGCAGTAAGAGTCTTGTTCTGACAAGATGGGTATATTACAATGAGCTTCTAACAGGAGGAACCACAGCGTATGGGTGAGGGAGATGCCACTTTCTGATTCACACAAAACTGCAGTGGGATTGTTGGCCCTGGTAGAACCCTGAGGCTTGCCTGCTTCTACTCTAGGGAGATACCTTCTTGCTCCGGCCTTTATCCCTGTCAGAGGCCTGGCATATTCAATAGCAGGGTGTCAGTGAACACACTGAAGCTTCAACCATCCAAGGCACCATTGGCAACTAACTGTGTGAGAGGGACCCAATAATCAGCCAGCTCCAGGCTCAGGGTTGACCTAGGATGGCTCACTTACCTTTTCATTTTTCTTGTCATCTGGCTTGTACCCTGTGTTGACGGGGCTGGGTATGGACAGGCCACCGATGGGCATCCCTCCAGCCTCCCCACTGAGGTTGGCAGCACTGACATTGGGAGGTGTGATGGCTGACGCTGCTGATGTGAAGGGGATGGCTGGCCGGGGACACATCTGCAACAGGGGCTGCTGGCTGTGCTGTGGGGACACCACAGTGCGGGGCCGGAGGCTGGTGGTGGGCAGGCGGGATGGAGAAGTCTGAGTGCGCAAAGGTGACACGGTGGCTGTTGGTCGGTCCAGGGCCTGGGCTGAGGGATGGGTGGCTGGAGAGATGGTAGATTGAAAGGTTAGTGTGCACTTGGCCATTTGATTGCTGTGCATTCTGGTCATAGGCTTGACCTCTGACCTCTGAGGGTTCTGAGTACTCCAGGCTTGGCTACCATCACCGGAGGAGAAACTGAGGTGAAACAAACCCTGAAAATGTCTCTCTACTCTGGATGAACATAGTCCTTATCTTAAGTGTCCCAGAGCATGTCAGGGCCATACAAATCTAGTGTTTTCTTGCATTTTAAAAAGTCACACTTACTGTATTTATTTTGTACTACCAGAACTTGGGCATTCTAACTGTTTGATTATAAGAAAAATATACAATGCACAAAATATCTTTGGCCCCCAAATATGCCATGACTATAAAATACACCTAGAAATCTCAAGAGTGTCTGCAAGTGGGGGGCCTCTCCACACTACACCCCAGACCTGTGAACTGTGAGCTGCTAGATCCACCTATGTCATGGTGTCTTTGAGGTGGCAGGTGATCCTTTATGTACCAGGCAATATAAAATTAGGCTTCAGGTATGGGCTTCTTTAAAATTATTTGGAGTTTCAGAGGGGTTGGGAACCTAGCATTTGAACATCTCAGACAACATGCCTCACATCTTGAGGAGAAGGTCAAGCAATTATGCAGATCAATGAAGCCACTGAGGTCATTCAACACCCCGTGACTCCTGACTAGGGCTCTGAGCACCTGTGTGTTGCCTTGTCTGTGAACTCTCCTTTACCCCAGCCTTTGACAGCAACCAGCCAAAAGCCGTTGCCTAGGTCTAGTTCTTGAATGGTCCTTGGTTGGTGCTTCAGTCTCTGCAAAACCCTCTGGGCCCAGAGGGTGTGTTGGCCTTCTTGTGGAGCCCCTGTTCCCTCTGGGTTCTTTGATCCTCCCCTCCCCCTTTCTATAAGGCTCCTTATACTCTGCCCATTGTTTGGCTGTGAGTCTCAATTTCTGTTTTGATCCCTTTCTGGGTGGAACCTCTCGGAGATAAACCTAGACTCCCTACATATATAGACCCGATGGGTAGCTTAGCCTCCATGTAGGTCCTCTAGAAAGGGGATCGGGGCCTGTCTCTGACATGGACTCTGTTGCATGCTTTTTGATCACTTCCCCCTGGTGGGGCGGTCTTGCAAGGACACTGTAAAAGAGGACATACACCGTCCTGGTGTGACTGGTTGTGCCAAGGTGGGTTTGTGGCAGGGAGGGACTCCCCTTTTCTAAGAGGTGGTATGGGGATGAGGGAGTGGGGGACTGAAAGGAGAGGAAGGCGGGGGCTAAGACTGAGATGTAAAGAGAACAACAACAAAAAGCCATTGCCCTGGAGTCTCTGAGACTGTATCTAGGGCTGCTCTGGGCTTTCCATGAAGCTCAGGCACTGCCTTCTAGAGAGACACATCCAGTCAGTGGAGACGCACAGTGTGGCCACCATCTGAAAATTTGAACTGTCTCCTCCTGCAGGTACTAAGCACTGCTTCATAGTTTACATAGTTCATTCATTTATCATGTCAGATCATTGTCTCTCTCTACACCGTCAGCTCAGCTCTAGGAGCCTGGGGACAACGGCTGTTTAATTCACTAATAGAATGCATTCCACATCCCTGGAATGGTGCCAGGCATGTAGAGAATACTTAATACAAGTTTTAATGAATAAGTGACTACTTGAGAAAAGAGAATTCCCAGCTGAAGCATCACTAAATATTTCACAGAAATAAATCACTGGAGAAAAAAAAATGTCCAGTGATACAGCATGGCTTATTGCACAGGCTGCCTAGACTCTGCCTCACCAATGATCCTGTTAGTTAGCATTGCAAAGCAGCTACATGGTCCTTGAAGAGTTAAGTCAGCAGTAAAGGCTGATGGAGAGTACATAGTCCCTGGCCTGTTTCTCCTTCCTTTTGGTCTCTTGGCCTTTGGTTTGCACTTTGGTGATTCCATGGTCTCCTCACCAACACTGTCCTCACCACTCAGCTCCCTGATCTGTCCCCAGTACCCGGAATCGACCTGGAACTCATCCAGTTCTAGAGTCTTCTCTGTAACTGCTTTCAGTGCTTCTGTGCAGGGTTTCTCTGTGTAGTCCTAGTTGTCTGAAAACTCACTCTGTAGACCAGGCTGACCTTGAACTCCGAGATCTACCTGCCTCTACCTCCTGAGTGCTGGGATGAAAGATGTGCACTGCCATCACTTGGCTGTGCTTTGAAATCTTAGTGAGGAAATTCACCTCCATTGTTGTCTCCCGTCCCCATGCTCTGGCTCTTCCACTTCTGTGGCTCTTCTTTGTGTAGCAGTTTCTTTTTTTTTAAATATATAATTTATTTAACTTTATTTTATGTGCATTAGTGTGAGGGTGTCAGACCACCTGGAACTGGAGGTACAGACAGTTGTGAGCTGCCATGTGGGTGCTGGGAGTTGAACCTGGGTCCTCTGGAAGACCCAGTGCTCTTAACCACTGAGGCATCTCTCCAGCTGTGTAGCAGTTTCTTCCAAATTAAAACATTCTGTCCTTGAGGGATATAGAAAAGCCTGTTTTTCTGTTATTTTATTTACTTAAGAAGTAAATAAGATCCGTAAGTCTCAGGAAACGGAAGCTCAAAAGGCTCATACATCTCCAACAGTGAGCAGTGTGGTTGAGAGAAGAGACGCTCAGACAAACTCATGTGACTACAACTCAGGCAGGAGGCTCCAGGCATTCAGCACTCCTCACACATGCTCACGTGGGCTTTTTGTGAAGCAACTGCTGTTGAGACATCCATGTCCCTGCAAGTAACGCCTCACCCTGTAGGTATGCCCAGTAAGTTAATGTGTTTGCTAAGTTTAAATTTGGACTCCTGGTCTGCCTTTGCTATTTCGATTTTGGGAATGGAGTGAATGGCAGGGGGTTCAAAGGAAGAGTATTGAATCCAATTGTCCTTCTGTCAGGAGGTAACTGATCTTCCTGGAGGCGGGCCACAGTGGTACCACCGTGTGTGAGCCAGTCTACACAGGGAGTTCCAGGTCTGCCAGGGCTCCAGAGTGAGACCCTGTCTCAAGAAAACAAAACATCTCATCAAACAAACACTGAGGAAGAAGGCAGCCCAGTATGCAGTGAGTGTGGAATACCTTAGCTTCACCCAGGGAAAGCCCAACCTGTTCTTTTATGGTTGGTTTTATGGTGGCTAGAGAGAATGAGTTGGTCCAAGGTCAGCTGATGTCATCTACAAGACTAATCAGGAAATAACCATGTCTATGCATGCTCAAATCAGATGCTTTTCCTTCAGATATTTTTGATCCATTACTAGTTGGATCCACAGCTCTGGAGGGCTGACCATATGTAGAAATACAACTGTCTTTGTATGTTGATTTTGTATCTTTGCAATGCTGAATTCATTTTAAAAGTGTAGGGTTGTGTGTGTGTATGTGAGAGAGAGAGAGAGAGAGAGAGAGAGTGTGTGCATTACTTAGGTTTTTCATATATAAGATCCTTATGTCTGCAATTTCCTCCTTTTCACCATTAAGTGCGAGGGCATCTGTGTGTTCTCATGAGAGCTTTTATCAAACAAGATCACTGCTATTCCTCATTCTCTAAAGTTCTTTAAACAAGGAGTAGACACTGGGTTATGGGAAATACTATTTTGTTTTTGAGACAATCACATCATTTTGTTCATTAACAAAATGAAGTACATAAGCTGTTTCAGCCCTGTGCTCCCGGGATAACCCATGTGGTTTACTACTCTTCTCATTTGTTGCCAAATTCAATACAGCCTATAATTACCATCTTGTAATATTTTATTAAAGTAATTCTGGCTTTATGGAAAATGTCAGGAAGTATTTTTCCTTTTTTCAGTTTAGAGAAGTCCAGAAAGTTGTCTTATTAATACTGTTGCTTTGTATTTAAATTTAAATGTTATAATTTCTTCCTTAATTGTTTATATAATTTACCAATAAAGTCACATATTCCCAGAACTTTCTTTGTGGGTGTTTTTAAATTAGATATTCAGCTTCTTTTTATAGACTTAGGCTTATTCAAGTTATTTCTTGTTGAATATGGCTGATGATTTATGTCTTTAAGGATTGTTTGAAAATGTCCATTTGTCTATTGATTGAACTTGAAGATTTTACAATAATTTCTTAGTATCTGGTAGACTCTAAAATGATGCCACGTCTGTTATTTCTGGTGATGCTGGCTTTCATAGTTCTCCCTTTTTACTTAGTTCAGGTGGCTAGAGGCTTATTAATTTGATTATTATCTTCTCAAAGCCCCCCCCCCTTAGCTTAGCCAATTTCACTACCACTTCTGCGCCTCCCTCTGCTGATTTCTTTCTACTCTCCTGTGGTGTATCACTCCACTTAACCAGAGCCTATTAACCTGACACATTTCTTTGTTTTCTATCATAGATATTCCATGCTGTAAATTCCCCCTCAAAGACTGTATTGGCTGCATCCTACAAACTTTTATATGCGGTGTTTTTATTTATTCATCTCAAAATGTCTTCTAATCTTTATTTATTCTTTGATCCACTGATCATTTTGGTTTATATTATTATGTTTTCAGACAATTACTTGTGATACTGGTTTCCAAGTCAAGTCCACTGTGTGACCCAAGTCCCTTTACACATATTGAGATTTATGTTATGGCCCAGAGTATGGGTTAACATGAGAATGTTGTGTATTCTTAAAAATAATGTGTATTTTGATGTTGATGCTAATTAAATTAAGTGGGTATAGTTGCACTAATGATTTATACTTTTACCAATAGTAGATAAAATTTTGAGAGTGACTACAATCTTACCTTTGTGGATTTCTCTATTTCTCTCATCAGCTTTATCTATTGTTGTTCATGTATTTTTGAAGTTTTATTGGGCGCATTCATACTTAGAATTATTATGTCATCTTACTGGGCTCAGTCTTTGCCATTATGTGGTTATCATTATCCCTAGTGATTCATGGTTATAAATTCTCCTGTCTGACATTAGCAGATCAATTTTCTTTTGATTAATATTAATATTATCATGGTATATTTTAGCCTCATTACTGACAGAATCT